TCATTTCAAGCCCACCGACTCCCACAGCTACCTAGAATACTCCTCCTCCCACCCACCTTCCTGCAAAAATGCTATCCCCTATTCCCAATTCCTTTGCCTCCGCCGCATCTGCTCCCAGGATGAAGCATTCCACTCCCGTACATCTCAGTTGTCCTCGTTTTTCAAGGACCGTAACTTCTCCCCCTCGGTGGTCGAGAACGCCCTCAACCGTGTCTCCCACATCTCCCGCACCTCATCCCTCACACCCCGTCCACGCAATAAGAACCAAAAAAGAATCCCTCTCGTCCTCACGTACCACCCCACCAACCTCCGGATCCAACGCATTATCCTCCGACACTTCCGCCATCTGCAATCCGACCCCACCACCAAAGACATCTTTCCCTCCCCACCCTTATCTGCTTTCCAGAGGGACCACTCTCTCCGTGACTCCCTTGTCCGCTCCACACTCCCCTCCAGCTCCACCACACCCGGCACTTTTCCCTGCAACCGCAGGAAGTACTACACCTGCCCCCATACCTCCTCCCTCACCCCCATCCCAGGCCCCAAGAAGACTTTCCACATCAAGCAGATGTTCACCTGCGCATCTGCCAATGTGGTATACTGCATCCGCTGTACCCGGTGTGGCCTCCTCTACATCGGGGAAACCAAGCGGAGGCTCGGGGACCGCTTTGCAGAACACCTACACTCGGTTCGCAATAAACAACTGCACCTCCCAGTCGCGAACCATTTCAACTCCCCCTCCCATTCCTCAGACGACATGTCCATCCTGGGCCTCCTGCAGTGCCACAACGATGCCACCCGAAGGTTGCAGGAACAGCAACTCATATTCCGCTTGGGAACCCTGCAGCCCAATGGTATCAATGTGGATTTCACAAGTTTCAAAATCTCCCCTCCCCCTACCGCATCCCAAAACCAGTCCATCTCGTCCCTGCCTCCCTAACCTGTTCTTCCTCCCACCTATCCTCTTCTCCCACCTCAAGCCGCACCTCCATCTCCTACCGACCAACCTCATCCCGCCCCCTTGACCTGTCCGTCCTCCCTGGACTGACCTATCCCCTTCCTAACTCCCCACCTACACTCACCTTTACTGGCCCCATCCCCGCCTCTTCGACCTGTTTGTTTCCTCTCCACCTATCCTCTCCTCTATCCATCTTCTATCCGCCTCCCACTCTCTCCCTATTTATTTCAGAACCCCCTTCCCCTCCCCCTTTTCTGATGAAGGGTCTAGGCCCGAAACGTCAGCCTCTTTGCTCCTATGATGCTGCTTGGCCTGCTGTGTTCATCCAGCCCTGCACCTTGTTGTCTCGGATTCTCCAGCATCTGCAGTTCCTACTATCTCTGGAATGCAGTAATAACTTGTTTCACTTTTCGTTCTTGGTTTGAAATGTATGGACTGCAGTATGAAATGAAGAAGGAGTAGGTGAAATAGATTGGGATAGCCTCATGAGGAGCGCAAACAACAGAACAGACTAGTTGGGCGGAATGGCCCGTTTCAGTGCTGTACATCTGGTATGATTCAATGATTCTGACTTTTAAAACTTGCAGTAGGTCCATAACTGCATCTTAGCCACAACACTATGGTCTTTCTGTCAGTCATATTAGGACACTGCAAACATTACAAGTCACAAACGCAGGCTCTACACAGCCACACGCACAGACACATGCGCACACAGACACACACACATATGCGTGCACACAGATACACACACGCACACATGTGCATGTGCACAGACACACACACACACGCG